GGGAAGGGCGAAGGACTTTTGCCCCCCCCCCCTCCCCCCCCCCCCGCCAAAAAATAAATCAGAGAGAGAGAGAGAGAAGGGAAAGGGAAAGGGAAAGAGAAGATAAAAGGAAAGAAAGAAGAGGAAGAAGAAGAAAAGAGGGAAACGGGGGCAAAGGGCTTTTGCCTCGTCCCCCCGCCCCCCGCCAAAAAATAAATAAGAGAGAGAGAGAGAGAAGGAAAGGGAAAGAGAAGGAAGAAAGAGAAAAACGAAAAAGAGGGAGAATAGGAAAGAAAGGAAAAGAAAGAAAAGAAAGGAGGCAAAAGCCCTTCGCCCCTGTTTCCCTCTTTTCTTATTCTTTTTCCTCTTTTTTCTTTCCTTTTATATTTTCTTTCCCTCTCCCTTCTCTTTCCCTTTATGGCGGGAGGGGGGAGGTAAGAGCCTTTCGCCCTTCCCCCGTTTCCCTCTTTCCGTCTTCTTCTTCTTTCTTTCCTTTTATATTTTCTTTCCCTTTCCCTTTCCCTTCTCTCTATCTCTCTCTCTCTCTCTCCTATTTATTTGTTGGCGCGGGAGGGGGGAGGAGGCAAGAGCCCCTCTTTTCTTCTTATTCTTCTTCCTTTCCTTTTTTATTCTCTTTCCCTTTCCCTTCTCTCTCTTATTTATTTTTTGGGCGGGGGGATGCAAGAGCCCTTCGCCCCCGTTTCCCTCTTTTCTTCTTCTTCTTCCTCTTCTTTCTTTCCTTTTATCTTCTCTTTCCCTTTCCCTTTCCCTTCTCTCTCTATCTCTTATTTATTTTTTTGGCGGGGGGTGGGGAGGGAGGAGGCAAGAGCCCTTCGCCCTTCCCCCGTTTCCCTCTTTTCTTCTTATTCCTCTTCTTTCTTTCCTTTTATATTTTCTTTCCCTTTCCCTTCTCTCTCTTATTTATTTTTGGCGGGGGGGGGGGGTAGGAGGCAAGAGCCCTTCGCCCTTCCCCTGTTTCCCTCTTTTTCCTCTTCTTTCTTTCCCTTTCCCTTCTCTCTCTCTCTCTCTCTCTTATTTATTTTTTTGGCGGGGGGGGGGGGGAGGTAAGAGCCTTTCGCCCTTCCCCCGTTTCCCTCTTTCCTTCTTCCTCTTCTTTCTTTCATTTTATATTTTCTTTCCCTTTCCCTTCTCTCTCTCCTTATTGTTGGCGGGGGGGGGGGGGGAGTGAGGAGGAGGCAAGAGCCCTTCGCCCCCCCCGTTTCCCTCTTTTCTTCTTATTATTCTTTCTTTCCTTTTATCTTCTCTTTCCCTTTTTTCCTTCTCTCTGTCTCCCCCAGCTAGGGCTGGTTTTGTTTACGAAGCGCCCGTCAGGAGAGTACACGATAGAGTACACGATAGAGTACACGAAAAAATTGACGATATCGTGAACTTTATATCGTGAACTTTTCACGATAAAATTCACGATATCGTCAATTTCATCGTGAAAAGTTCACGATAAAGTTCACGATATCGTCAATTTCGTGAATTTCTTCGTGAAAAATATGCGATAAAATTGACGATATCGTGAATTTTATCGCATATTTTTCACGATTTAGTCTATTCGCGATGTCCCTTCAGGGCCACCATACTAAAGCTTCATCAGTGAAAGAAGGAAACACGAAAGGATATTTCTACATAATTCCAGTCACTGAAAACTGCTGACAATTTTAATGGTTTGATGGGTTCCATAAAGGAATGCTCAATGTAACTGATTAAGGCTGTAAGCCATACTTATAGAATGATAGCTGAAGGAGTCTATTGGCTGGAAATTAATCAACTGGATTCGGATAGCGCTCGGGCATTTTTTTAAGTGGATCTTCGTGGGATCTTTTTAAAGCCCATCTTCTCGGGCAAATCGAGGAAACATTAAATTCAAAACTCTTGAATTTAATTGGCATGGGTATAAATGAGTTCATATAAACATGATAATAAAGAAAATTAGGAGAGGTGAAGGAATACTTAAAAGGCCAATTTTAAAGGCGCGATTTTGTCTTCCATTCTCCGTTTACTTGATCGATTGGGGAGTGAATTGGTAAATGTGTGAGGGTATCCTTCTTTATTTAGTAGTACCAAAATATTATATCATTGTCTGGCAAAAGCATGTTTCGGAGGCTCAAATGCTTGTCAAATGCGTCTAGAAACTTGAAAAATGGATGCCCCATGCCCGGTAAGAATGCACTTCTGTCCCTGTATCACTTCAGCTTAAAGCTAATCTTGAGCTCTGGTATGGGAATCGTATATCGAGAGAACATGGCTATAATTCATTCTGGATTGTTTATCCTGTAGTAGATTGATTGTTTGAACCAGTAAAATAAAAACAAACTCACAAAAACTTGCTGGAAGTCATCTTCAATAAAAACGCAACTCTCATTTGAACAGAGTGACCTGTGTTTATAAGCACACAGGGGCTGCGCGCCGGAGTGTCTTCAAAAGTTGGGGGGGGGGGGGGACCAACAAAAAAGGGAATTTTCTTGGGCGAAAAGGGGCACCTAAAAAGAGAAATCTAAAAGCGAAAATATACAATTTTTAGACATTGATATTTACCCCTACATTGTAATTACATTATCAGGGATGATTTCAATGTTTTTTTCTCTCTTTACGTGGTCCAAGATACTGCCTTAGCATCATACTTTGCAGTTAGGTGTGATGGTGAGCGAGCAACCTTTTTCAAGATTTGTGAGGTCGCAGTGCAAAACATCTTATAAAGAGGAAAGAACAATCCTGATGGGGTTTTAAGTACAATCTAATCATGAAAGGTTGAATAGATCTTTAATAAGGAACATAATTATATCAACCTTGAATACGAACGAACAAAGCTTGCTTGCTGCGTACGCTCGTCGAGCGTACGCAGCAAGCAAGCTTTGGGTGCAATTAAAGAAAAAAATTGCTCTTATCGCCTTATATTAGAAGCACATTTTATGGTAAAACGAAAGGAAAAAGGACACTTTTGAAAAATAGCCCATGTCAAAGTTAAAGAGGGGTACCTCTCAAATTTCAATAAGAGACTCATCGGAGATGAAAAGAGGCACTTATAACAATGAAAAGAGGACATGTACAAAGGAAAAGAGGCACTCAAAAATAGAAATGACTTTTTTCAGATTTAAAAAGAGCCAAGTAAAAGGGGGCACTTTAGGGGAAATTTAAAAGTGGAGGGGAGCAATGTCCCCTCCCCCTTCCCCCAGGCTCCGCCGACTCTGTAAGTACAAGGTCTCGGGCCTACCTACCTTGATTTCCTTATCTTTCTATGCTCATTACTCATTTTCTACAAAAGGCATCTGTCAATTATTTGTAATCTTGAACATGCAGTGTAAGTTTGTTGGATTCTGTGAGAATTTATTTTCCATCATTACCAGAACTGAAGCTTATCTTTAAAACATAATGCCAAGCTATAATATGCAGGCTGTGATTCTCGGCAATAGTCCTACAAATAATTTTGAAACAAAAAACAGCGTTGGTTTTCTTTCTTTCCTATCCCTTTGTAAATCTCTATTTATAAATATTGTGTGCTCTACAATAAAGCAGAGTACTCACAGTTTATTTGTAGATGCAGGATTTGGACCCCCCCCCCCTTGTCTGAACATGACTATAAGCCATGTTCAGATGGGGGCTTCTTAGTCGGCGTAAGCTAAAGGTACATGTACTATGTCCCATTTGTAGCCAACACCAAATTCTGTAGAACTTTTCAGGTATTATGAATATTCACGTATGTCCTATCTGTGCAATTTAAACGCGTTTACTTTCTAGGCTTCACTGTCATGCACTATTGAGTGACCGATTTCATTTTTTTCTTCGGTAATAACAAGCATAACATGAGCTGTAAAGGGTACATGAGCATTTGTCTACATCAATAACCTACTTCGTGTAATGGCCAAAATTAAACGATTGAATCTTCAGGCGCAGAACAAAACGTACACCATTCGGTATAAGGGTCTAAAAGAATTGCAATCCCTTAAGTCGATTCGACAACTAACGGTCGATATTTTCACACACAGCCATTTTCAAGCCCTTCGTTATGAGGGAAGTTCTAAATTAGTATATTATCTTTCAAATGCCGGTGTTATTTAATTTTTTTTTTGTTAGCCTGCAAATGGGACATAGTACCTTTAATCCCTGCAGCAGTAAATATCCCATACATATTTGACTTGCACCAGGCGCGTACGCAGGATTTTTTCAAGGGGGGGGTTTTAACATTTATAAATCGGTCCGAAAATTTCGCAACGACTCAGCCAGCCGCTGAATAAGCGGGGGGGGGGGGGGGGGGGGGGGGGGGGGGGGGGGGGGGGGGGGGGGGGGTAAGAGGACACTTTTTTTTTTTTTTTTTGTCTCGAAATTTGGAAATTTGACATTTTGCTCCGTTGGGGGGGGGGTAAGGTCACCTTTTTTAGGTCGGCCATGGGAATATTTTTTTTTTTTTTTTTTTTTTAATAATTAAAATAAAAAAAAAAAAAAAAAAAAAAAAAAATCCAGGGGGGGGTTTTAGGTTTTTTTTAGGGGGGTTTACACACAAAAAATTTCCAAAGGGGGGGTTTAACCCCCCAAACCCCCCCCCCCCCTGCGTACGCGCCTGACTTGCACCATTAGTTGTCCATACCCTCTCGATCGGACCAACTTACCAAGATTAAATTAACACGACCTTCCACCGACCCAGTCTTACTCAGCGGAACTTCCGGAAGTCAGTGGTGGATCCAGGATTTTCCAAAAGGTGGGAGGGGACGTAAAATGTACGAGATTGCAAGCGTGAAGCCTTTACGGTAATATCCCCCCCCCCCATGCAGTTCTTCATTATTGAATACAAGTTTGATTTTTTTTCCTAAAATGGGACCTATATCTTCACAAGCTCTGCTTCTTTTATAGGTTCCTCCACTTTTTCTCAAATTATGATGTAATTAAGAATCTATGCTGTTATCTTCTCCAATCTCGGAAGTTGATTGCAACAGTTTTTTCCACACATCTCTGTTATCTGCCATTCTAGAGCAGGAAACATATTGTATATTTGATTTCCATGCTGTAGATAGATTAGCAATCGAATAAACATTGAATACAAAACCATGGTCAATGTAAATCATATGAAGACAAGTGATTTGCACTGCCTATAGTATAGAGGGCAAACAAATTAATGACATGTTCATATCGGATACCTTGTCTGGTTTGTCGCCCCCTCATTATAATAACATCCATACGATGAGGCTGATGAGCAACTATAGATAGCTCGATGTATACTCGACACTGACCGTATATTATACGTTGCTCGATCACTCATCAGTTTCTGCGGGTACATAATCACATGCATACCGTGCTCGTATTTGCTAGTGCTCCAGAATAAACTTAACTGTAAGTATACATTTCTTTTGCTTTCACGGTGGTTGAAATAAGCGGTAACAAGCTGTGCTTCAACCCTTCAACCAAGGTCTCTTCGTCTTTCTTTATTCTACATTGTACTGTTATGATTGTACTCTATTATATTTTGTTACATGTGCTTTCTGGAAGACAAACAAACTTGATACTTGATAAGCGAACGTTCGGGGCATACTTTTGTAATATTATGAGTGTATATCATAATATTTATGCAGTGCGGAATAGCGCTGTCAACAGCCCTATAATAGGCCAAATGGTCATAAGATAGTAAGAAGATTTTCTGGACAGTATAATGCGGAATACATTACCGTAATAGTTCTGTCTACTCAAGTATGTTTTTTTCGTGCAATGAATTGAAGATAAACATATTCAATTTGGTGTCTATATGATCTGGTTTATGTGTGTAACACGTACGGACTTGCTGAAAAGCAGTCTTTTTAGGATGTGAGTTTTAACGTGATAAAATAAATTAAATTTAATTAAATTTAACCAATTATAATTCCGTTAGGGTGTGCGTGAATCGAGTATCATAATAATGCTTTCAAAGAGAACCCAATGGCTAGGCCCAAATACAATATACCTAGCGATATGAGTGTCTTATGATGATTGTTGTATTTTCTATACCGACACTGTCTGGAAAAGACTCCGACCCCTGTATATTATATTCAGCAATTCCTGCATAACTCACTTCCACACGATTTCAAAGATCGGAAGATCAGCTCAAGGGCAATTTCATAGACATCCCATAGAAATCGTGTTTGGATCACGTATGGTGTTCACACATTTCTTAAAGGGACTCGGTAACATTGTTCAGATGAGAGAAAATCGTAGGTAGTGACTTCAATGCTAGATGTAGAGTATTAAAGATAATCTGATGGTTTGAGTGAAAACATACCTTTATAAATGATAACAATTAAAATAAAAATGATTTTTTAAAAGCCTGTTTTATGTCTTATTTTCATAGAAAACGGTTGGGAGAATTCAAAAATGTGTTGGGAGAATTTATTGTTAGAGGGGTTACACATTGACGCCTTCAAAGGAAACCATAGATATCTTTGTGATTTGAGATTTTTTTTCCAGGATTTTGTGCATGTTAGAGGGTTAGAACAGTAGAAGAATTATAAGAGGTAACATTTCATATATTTTATGCAGTTTATTTCATAAACCTTCAACAATGTTACCGTTTCACTTTAAGTGATTGACAAAGACTATTTCAACAGTCTGGGGTTGATCTTTCGAAAGTATTTACGAACGTGATCACTGCATAATTTACTGACCTAATCTCCCTTTCCCTTTTCTCTCTCTCCCCCCCCCCCCCCCCTCTCTCTCTCTCTCTCTCTCTCTCTCTCTTTCTCTCTCTCTCTCTCTTTCCCTGTTTTTTTTTTAGGGGGGTCCCTTTGCTTATTTTCTCTTATCTTTCTTGAAACATGCGTTCACGCGCCTAATGTGAGGATATGTGAAACCGCAAATAAAGGAAATGACTAAAAATAATTGGAGAGGCGACATGAAAGCTTAAACAGCATAAGACGGCATGATCAGTATGTTTGGGCTCTAATATTATTGTTTAAAGGTAAAGACCAGTTATGGTCATGCGATTGCATTGTGAAAGAAACGTTGTGGAATCGATCAGAAAAGGTTGATCATCTAGCATCTGCAAGGTTCTGGAATCATCAAAATGATAAGAAATTTGGCCCATTCTTCGTAAAGTTGCAAGCACTATACACAGAAAGATGTATATGGGACTACCCTATATCTCTCACAGACCATGAGAGAAACAAATTGACCAAATATATGAATTAGTAGGCGGTTTCCCGGCAAATTTGTTATCATCATGTATTAGTCAAAACATATTCTTTCGCATGATTGGTAATGAGAGCTTCCATTTCATTTTTTGAAATTGGGGCGTTTCCAATACTGGTCTTTACCTTTAAGTTACATGATATGTACAGTATCTGATGATCGATTGCTCTGACAGGTAAACGGTTAGATTTGTCCTGGCATTTTTTAAAAAGGCATATGCATTCAAGTGGCGTGTTCTTTTTTTTTGGCGAGGGGGGGGGGGGGGGGGCATATGACATGTCATGAGCCCTAATTTGGCATATATTGTATTGTATAGTTTTGTAGCCTGGGGAAAGGATTTTAGACAATCTAAGTCATAAGAAATTATGAAGATTTTGTTTGTAATTTTGAATGAGATTTCAGAATTGCCCCCCCCCCCCCCCCATTACACTGCCGCAGTAATAACAAGTAGTGCTTTTATCAAGACTTATCAAGGAAGGATGTTATAGCTACTTCCTTTAAAACGAGGGAACAATGCAATCTTTGTATAATCAGCAATGATCATCATGAGTGACCTGTAGTGGGAATGGGGGGGGGGGGGGGACAAGCGACACGTGCCGTCGTTTTAAGACCCGAGATGACATAACTAATAAACACAAAAATGGAAGAAAAAAAATCCCCATATAAATTCGATTTAGGCTCAAAAGGCAAATGAAAAAAAGATTCCCCTCTGTTATTTTGTTGTCAGAATTTTTGTCTGAATTGCCCTCCCCCACCCACTATTAGCAGAATCCCGGATTCGCCCCTGTATATAGTATAGGCCTACCATGTACAAGTATGATTTTTGTAGTATTAAAACAAATATTTATTAATTTAGGGTAGCATTGTCAGTTTAAAGCTAAAGACCAGTTATGGTCATGCGATTGCATTGTGAAAGAAACATTGTGAAATCGATCAGAAAAGGTTGATCATCTAGCATAGATGTACTGCAAGGTTCTGGAATCATCAACATGAGAAGAAATTTGGCCAAGTCTTCATAAAGTTAGAATCACTGTACACAGAAAGATGTATATGGGACTACACACACGTGCGCGACACGTACATTTGTATCTCTCAACAGGCGAGAGATACACTAATTTACCAAATATATCAATTAGTACGCGGTTTCCCGTCAATATTTGTATTATAATGTATTATTCAAAACATATTCTTTCACACGATTGGTAATAAGAGCTTGCATTTCATTTTTTGAAATTGGGGCGTTTCCAATACTGGTCTTTACCTTTAATACAAAACTGCTTTTTATATTGACGCTGTTGGCCTAGACAATAATATGATTAAAGATTGAAATTATAGACAAATCAATTACTTTAAAATATAGGCTCCATATACATGTACCAAATGATAATTTAAGACAAACTTAGAATAATCTATCAATAATGAAGGCGAATTCAAAGACTTTGGTTGAAATTTACAACAACAAAAACAACACAAAGACAAACAAAATTAATCCGATTTGTGCCTTTGATGTACCGTACAGCAAAGAAGAAAAAGAAATGGAGTAGTGAAAGATGGAAGACTTATGGGAAAAGAGACAGAGAAAGTATGTGATTGTGTGTCCGTTTTTCTCTTTAAAATGCAAAATTTTCCCACTCTAGGGGGGCAAGGGGTATATCCCCTCCCGACCTAGTCAATCTACCACCCTCAAATTTTGACCATCTAGTACACAAAAGACTTGTCCCCCCCCCCAAAAAAAAATAAATAAATAAATAAATTAAAAAAAAAAAAATGACTTAGCCTACGCTAGGCCACTGGGGTTGGGGAATTCACTTGTATAATATTAACTTTGTAGATGTGTTGTTGGTGAGTTGAAACAGATTTCCCTCTTCTTTTTGTAATTATAAGTCCTACAAGACCTAAAACTAGATTTTGTTTCTGCTATTCAATTCTAGATAAATTATGCGTGACCGAATATAAGAAGTTCCTCACTTCCCCCTCTTCTCAATCAGTGTGTATTATTGATGACATTTATTTTAAACGACAGTTATTCATTGGTTCGCCAACGGGTTTGTGAGCACGGGCAAATTGACAAACATTTTATCTATTTCGATTTCATTATGTAATTTCTGAATAGGCAACATTCAGTAATTGTCACAGAAACTTTCGAAAAACCGCCTGATCTTGAGGCAATCTTAATAGTCTTATCCACTGCACGCAGTGAAACGGACCAATGTAAAATCTAAATGTGATTTCTACGGGATATACGGAAGGTAATTTATACAAAAATTGACCCCTGGTTAATTTATTGAAAAAACTCTTTGCGATTGTGTTATGGGTAAAAACATTAACAAATAAGATGTAAAATATAAGATAAAACCCCAAAACAACCGATGCAACTCTTTATCATTAACAAATACATGATGGCTATGTTTTTTCTTTCTTTTTTTCTGCAGAAGCCACTAACCATGCCAGTCAACTTCTCCGGTACGTGGAACATTGCTAGCCATGAAGACTTCACTGCCCTCCTTGACAAACTTCAAGTACCAGAAGACAAACGACCACCGAGCAAGATCACCAATCTTCAAGTGGTGATCGAGCAAGATGGCGACCACCTCAAGATCGTCAGTAAAACCTCGTTGGGTGACAGAGTCAATGACTTCACGGTCGGGGAACCCTGTAAGTTTGTCATGTTCGGCAACATGCCCGAGGTTGACGTCACATCCGCCTGGGAGGGCGATCGTCTGGTGATCACCGATGCCCGCGGCGCCAAGCTCATTCGCGAGATCGTCGGCGACCAAACCGTGTGTACGTTCTGCGTGGGCGACCTCGCCGTCAAGCTCTTCTACAACAAAGCCTAGATCATCGTGAAGGTCTTCTATACAAGTCCCAGATACAACATGACATCATCGCCGTTAGGATCTACCACAACAAGGCCTAGATCATCGTGAAGATCTTCTATACAAGTCCCAGATTCAACATGACATCATCGCCGTTAGGCTCTACTACAACAAGGCCTAGCTAAAATACGTCGTCGTTAATTTCTTTACGAGGCCTACATAAATTTCAACTCACTTTGGGTACTCTGACATGGAAAAATGAAAAAACAATTACTCTAATCTTCTACTTATCTATGTGATACACCGAGTATGTTCACATTGAGAACAACATAACATTACTTGTGTATGTTAACTAAGTTGCTAATTAAAAACCTGCCATTAAAAATTGGAGGCATATTCAATGCCACTTTTGGGGTTTGCTTAAAATGGTATCACACTACAGACTGTAGGCCTATTAATCCCAAAACGACGGTATTACATTCCATTGTATTTGGGGGCATTTTGTGCATTCCAGACTCATCTTTTGATTTCACCGACTTGTATTTCATTGTTGATTTTTCAAAAAAACTGCCTCTTTTGATATATTGTTGAATTGAATAGAATTAAAGACCGTCACCACTACTGGGCAAGAAGGGATTAGACCACACAGCGAGCCATCGAGGTCACTGTGACAGGTGGCTATCTCATTAACTCAGCTCTCATTTAACATAAGAAAAAGAGGATCATGGGGGACCAACAGGCACCGATTGGGGAAGTTTTCTATATAGAGGGAGCAAGTAGCTACAAGTATGGTAGTGTGCCTTTAAATAAAATTCTTAATTATAAAGGAAAATTCAGCCAAGTAAACTGCTTTTGAACAATGTTATGGACTTACTTTTGATTTTAACTGAAAATTTGAATTGCTCACGTTAGTTCTAAATGGTTATTTGAACAGTCCCTACCAACTCAACATTGCGGGAGGTCTTCGTATCAGGAAGAGGGCCGGTGCACTACGAATTATAGGGACAGGCGTGCGACTGGTGTTGTTTATCTGGGTTTACTCTTAATTGAAAACTTGCAGTGTAACATTTTGATTTAAATCAGTGTCATGTCATGTATTAAAGGTATTACAAAGTTTTGGTATGGGGTCATGAATTTGGTTCAAATGAACATATTGAAAGCATATGCGATCCTACAATATTCAGTGATCGTTGTCTAAAGTCTAAAGTTTTGAAATTGTAAATAATAAACTCATAATATAAACTACATATTCTGAGATTTTCATGGTCGCAGCTACCATTGTACGGCCGTAGGCGCTATTTGAAATTCATCAACATTTACCGGGAGTAGCGATACATTTTTATATTCAATTTTTTTCGAAAGCAGAAGTGTTTTAGGGCCTACATTTTCTAGTGCTTATAATACATCCACAGGGGCATCCAAATATATCGAAATTGTAAAGAATCACTATCCACCCAATTTTCAAAATTTCCCAAAACTTTGTATTACCTTTAAAGAGTTGCGATTTATTCAAATTCAAAGCGATCGTATAACCTGATATCAATTGCAACTCTGTAGTATTAAGAGATAAAACTAAGTTTCCGTTTAATCTTTTGCATTCAGTCTGATTGAGTTCTGACTACAATGTAATTTTAAGACGGGGCCATGATTGCTACAATTTGAAATTCGTCTTGTTAACCCTTACGTAATTTTCGTCCAAAGTTAGACTGCAACCGGGTTGTTTTATAGTGCAGTTCAGTTGATTTTCTCGACCTCTTTTTTTAATTTCTCAAGGGGTGGGGGTGCCTCCCTGTCTCCTGATATATATATATATTATGATTCACCGGTCATCTACACACGGATGTAATTTGACATGTTTTGAAATGATTTGTAATCATAATATACAAATTTCTTTGGAAGCGCAGAGACGTTATATCAATATAATTATGATGTGCATTATACGAGACAACATATTATTATTAGTGTCATATATGTGTACATGCTTTGTTTTTGTGATTAAAATTTTGTTAAAGATCAATCTATCCGATTCATTCTCTCGTCTGTTTCAACACAATTTGTTTGTACTTTCTTCTTCTTTTCTCCATTCATACTATCTGTTCAAACCTGAAGTTTTTGTCCTGCTCCTTACATCTAGTCATTACTCTCTCTTTCAACTTTCATTCTTGCACATTCTCTCTTTTAAAGGTAAAGACCAGTTTTGGAAACGCCCCAATTTCAAAAAATGAAATGGAAGCTCTTATTACCAATCATGTGAAAGAATATGTTTTGAATAATACATGATAAAAATGTTGACGGGTAACCGCCTACTAATTGATATATTTGGTAAATTAGTGTATCTCTTGCCTGTTGAGAGATACAAATGCACGTATGTGTAGTCCCATATACATCTTTCTGTGTACAGTGATTCTAACTTTATGAAGACTTGGCCAAATTTCTTATCATTTTGATGATTCCAGAACCTTGCAGTAGATCTATGCTAGATTATCAACCTTTTCTGATCGATTTCACAATGTTTCTTTCACAATGTAATCGCATGACCATAATCTTTAGCTTAACTCAACTCTCTTAATCAGACTTTACTTTCCTTCCTTTCCTCTTTTGCTTCTTCATATCTCTAACCCTTCCTTGTTTCCATCCAGGACTCAGTCCTATTTTTTTTTCTCCCTCTCCATTTCAACGCCCTGAACAACATCTCACAGAACTGTCACCCGTCCATCTTTGTGAAAATCTCATCTGAACTAGTGCTTTCAATACATGTATGTTTCCATGGGATGTTATTGAAAATGACGATTTTGCAAGATGTTCCCTCATTCAATCTCCTCCTCTCGATCCCCATTTCCATATCATCTCTTTTCCCCTTCCACTCTTTTGCATTGGAAAAAAGAAATCCCTCATTCAAAGGAAGTTTTTTAATTCTTATATATGTTCAAGAAAACACTTCATGACTTAAAGACGGAACACTGAAAAAACCTAATAGATAAACAGAAAACAAGTTTCAGATGACCTCTAAACTGTACATGAGATTGAAAGAGAAGGTTGAGTTCTGGGGAGAGGTGGAAAATAATTTGTGAGTATTATCATTGCTATTTTGCAAGTGCGGAAGAACATCAGAGAAAACATGTCCCATGAAAAGCATGGCTCTTCAAATGTCTTCATAGTCTGAATATGACTTAAAAATGAGGCCTCATTTTTTATGCCACATGTTTGTGTAGTCCCATATACATCTTTCTGTGTACAGTGCTTGTTACTTTACCAAGCCTGGGCCAAATTTCTTATAATTTTGATGACTCCAGAACCTTGCAGTAGTAAACACACCAATACTTAAATACTACATGAACACCTTTTCTGATCCATTCTACAATGCAATCGCATGACCAGAACTCAACTTTATCTTCAAGGCCTTCTTACAGGCATCCAACGAATCGTTGTGATGCTACACTGAATCTACTTTGGAAAGCTCTCTCATTTAATAGAAATCGGTAGACATACATTAAAAAACAGACTACAAACACACCATATTCTTGACAGGGAAGATATCTTTTAATCAAAAACACAAATATGCGGGACAAGCACAAGTTAAACTATTCAACTACTGTACTTAATTTCATTTCCATAATCCTTAGCTAGGCAGATGTATTTCTTCTCATGGGCATACTTTACAATCCAACGAAAAGGACAGTTACATGGGGGGCTCTTACTAGTGTGCGAAAACACGTGGACAAACTTTTGAAATACATATTAAAGGTACTATGTCTCATTTGCAGCCAACATCTAATTCTGTAGAACTTTGCAGGAATTATGAATATGTCATGTATACATACATGTCCTATCTGTGAAAGTTATGTCCTAATATTCAAATTATGCAAGGAAGCCCATTTACATTCTAGACTGCACTGACATCAATAACCCACTTCATGTAATGGCCAAAATTAAACTGATTGAATCTTTACACAGCACAAAACGTACGACCAATGGGTCTGAATATCATACTAAATGGATTGCAATCACTAAAGTCGCTTCGACAACTAATGGTCGTTATTTTCACACTTAAAAACTTTTTCAAGCCCTTTTGTTTTGAGGGAAGTTCTTAATTACTATTATCTTCCAAATGCTGTTGGAATTTAATCTTTTCATTTTTTTGGGCCTGCAAATGGGACATACCGTAGTACCTTTAAGTATCATTTTCCTTGAACAGGTATCACATTTGTTTCCACATGAACAACTTTCGAAAAACTAAAAATTTAGCGCTTGAAATAATTACGGTGCTATTGTAATTCTAACTGCTTAAATAAACTAGATAATTGTCTCGCCATTGTTTTTTACTAATGATGGCGCAGGCAGCACTCGACAGAGATTTGACATAACCCTTCACCCAAATAACCCCACATCGTAAATAAACCCAACATGTGTTATATTTCAGGTTTCCAAATCCAATTTAAAGGAAAGGAGATAATTTATATCAACTACAGGTCATGTTTGTTTCAAAAACAGACAATACAAAGAAGAAAAGCAGGATACTATGTGCTTCAGCTGAAAGACAGCATTTATGAAATTCCCCTACAAACAGGGAAATTTGGACACATGAAAGAAACAACCACTTTTTATTTCTTGATTTCTACTAGGATGGAGGTGAATGCATCAACAGTAATATCTGTCAAGGCAAGCTTCGTCTTCTCCGGCATGATACCAGAGCTACTGAGCTTGAACACTCCATGGGTGAACACAGTCTCGCCAAGTTTCACCTCAAAGTCAATCTTGGTAGACGAGGAGCCAAAGTTATTGACGACCAGGTAGCCAGGCCAGTCGGGGAACTGACGCAGGTAAGCGTAGACGGTTCCAGATGAGTGCATCAGATGATACTCGCCAGCAGTCATAGATGGCTCACCATGGAAACTGGCTAGCTGCTTGAAGACCGAGAGTGAGGATTTCATGTCAGCATCTTGAACCTGAAAGGAATAACATTTTCTGATTACATACAATTCAAGTTTGCAAATAAGTTTATATGCTTATCTAGATATCACTGTCATTTAAATTCTTGTTAAAATTTGCTTCTTACAAAAAGAAAAACAATTTTTTTTTTTTTAACATTCAAGTAAATGAAACATTCATCATTTTTTTTTATATTACCTTTGACAAATTACTTGGGGGTCAATTAACACAGAAAGGCAATACTACTTGATTTAATCTAAAAAGGCAGCATTATATTCTGTCATTGCTGCCACGAGACATTCATGTTGGTTGTACAGTCCATTTGTACAAATTTGATTCATATTGGTATCATATTACTTATAAACGAAAACATGTACAAAACAAACAAAAACTCACCTCAACACTGTAGTTGGAATCAGTAGGAAGATCTAGCCAGGCTGTAGCATTAGAAGCAGTGAAGTTACCATTGGTGAAGTTAGCCCAGTACATGGGTCCACGCGAGGCATCAACACCACCAACGGCCTGTTGATAAACAAAAGTGGACTTCACTTGTTAAACACATCAAAACATGATAAGGCATGAAACCAATGAGAAAAACTCCAATTGGCGGAAGATTGTACATTAAAAAAACAAAACAAAACTTGATTAATGTTCTTGGTTTACATAAGAAACATGTATGATGCTATTAATGTTATAATATAAAACTGGATTGACGGTGTCCCAAAAGTTGATGACCTTATTAATCTTCAAGATTTGTATTCAAACAGCTTTGAAAAGTAATATGATTACACAGAACCAGGATGAAATCTTTCCATTCCTGTAGAGACTTTGACAAAAAATTCATTTCCTTTCTTAATTGCGAAGATAAATACTTTTAGCTCACTCTCTTCAAAATTGATTCTAATTAATGAGTTTATGAGTAAAAAAACAGAACTTCAAGAGATTTCTAGTATACACATGAAGGGCTGTATTGGTCAAAGCCAAAAGACATTTAACCGAGCCTGAAAACAAAAGTTGAAAGAACGTAATAATAGGTTCTGGTATGATGCTTTGCTGGAAGAGGACTAACATAGCACCTATGGTATACATACCAGGTCAAGGGCTCCCAGCTCTTCTCCATAGTAAGTGATGGGGGTACCAGGAAGGGTGAGCAGGATAAAGTTGAGTGAGCGAGCAAACTTCTCTCCAGCACGACTAGCAATACGAGACATACTCTCATCACCAAGCTGCATGATGAGAAGGAAAGAGAAGTCATTTATTAGGAATATCTCAGCATCAGAGAGTATGTTTATACTTGTATGTGTAGAGGTAACTAAATATACATATTTGATTAATAGGTCTGGATATCATATAGATACATTGTATCATTTTATACAAGCATATGTAAGTATACAAGCTTATGGTTAATGAGATTTATGCCTTCTTTCTTGTGTTTATACTATGCTCTTCAAAATTACTACCGGTACGTCATTATTTTTACATTCTACTATTTAATTTATTGGAGTATTTTGTTAATATGAACAAATATATGGAAGAAAACAAGTGTGACTTTGAACTGGGTTGAATTGGTTGGAGCATTTGAAACCTTTGAAGAAAATGCACACAGGGGAAAATAAAACCCAAAACAAATAGGAAAGAGTGTACAACTACTATTACTACTACTACTACTAATAATCTGGATTTATACAGCATTTATTATGTAATATCATCCCTTGTGCTTTAGCGATATCAGAACCCAAGACATCCGGTGCATTTGCACATAATGTGCACCATCTCCACTCCCCAGGGAATATTCTTACCATATGATAACTACTAACCCAGAAGTGTAAAATGATTATAGAGGGATCAGGAAGTAAGCCTATTTAGGACGCAAATCAATGTACCACTCAAGATTCTCTGGTATACATTATCACAGTTGGAAGATAAAGCGACATGGAGAGGTAACTAAGTACATTATCAAGATGTTGTGCATTTAGACTACTTACTGTCCAGGTGTTCCATCTCTTTTCAAAACCACCATCCTCCTTGCCTTTTAGCCATTTGGCTACAGCACCCTGGATGGAATCAACGGTTGGATTGGCCTCAATAGACTTAGCAAAGCCAAGGTTGATCACCAGGTCTGCTTCGCGGCTGTCATTGCCAAACTGAAGGACGGCATCGTTAGGAAAACGCTCAGTCTCTGTCACCAGGAGTCTAGAAGAAGAACAAAATAAAATAATAAATATTGTAAATCGTATCTGCACAGAAGCCTCATTGATAAAGATAGCCAGTTTGGGAAGACATACTATTCATAATTGTTTTCCCCTCTCCCACAGGACGAGTATTTTGGCCCAAATTCACAAAGTTGTGCGTCATAAGACGCACATACACCTAGGTTTGTCGACAAACCTCCTTTGTGAATTTGGGCCAATGTGTCTGAAAAATGCATGAATTATCCCTGAAGTGACTAAATTAATCTATGTACCTATATCCAGAGCTGCCAACCTCCAGAACAGAAAATCAGTAATCACAAGGCTCAAAATCAGTAATTTGGGGTATAAATCAGTAATTTCTTATGCGGCGCTATGAATCTAAAAAAACGACACGCCAACACTGCGCGGACGCATGATTATCTGAAATTTTTGGTGATTTTACTCACACAAAGATGTTAAGTATTGAATTTCAGGTCATCACAACACAGTTTATCATGAAAAATGGCTCCTATTCACAGCACTCGCTACGATAAATCATATTTAATTCATTAAAAAAAAAAAAAAAAAAAAAAAAAAAAAAAAAAAAAAAAAAAAAAAAAAAATCTTTTTTTTTTTTTTTTTTTTTTAAATCCGTAATTTGAGACAACATTCCGTAATGGTCGTTAATTTCCGTACCAATTACGGAAAATCCGTACTAGTTGGCAGCTCTGTATATCTATATGATACAGTGAAAAATAGACAAGAGGACCATGAAAATGACCTGTTAATTTGGGGTAAAAAAACAAACTTGGACTAGCAAAATTACCTGGTAATATCAGATATCTCATAGTTACAGAGCCCTTTACAGCTATTTTCTACTATAAGCATATATTCATCTAAATAATTTTCTTTGATACCTGACCATTCATAACACTTTGGAGTAATTTTGCTATTTATAACATTTATATCTTATAGAAATCACATTGTATCATTGGAAGCAAAATGACATTGTTTGATTATAAATGCAATAACTCACCTGTACTTTCCAAGATAAGTGTTCTGTCTGAAGACTTCTCTCCACCTGACCAGGAGATCGTGAAGTTTGGCCTGCATCCCAGGGCAAGCATCACCAACACATTTGTATTGCTGAAATAAAAACAGTACATTGATGGACAAGTTAAAGAGAAGCTTTACTTCTAATTCTAAGAAAGATGAAAAAAGGACATTTTGAGCTTTCTCATTCTTTTGATGTCAGTTTGGAAGAAGTCATAACTGAGATGTCTCCTGAAAGGGTTTGTTCTTTAAAATGATCCCATATTTGAAATACGAGAACAAATAAATAAATGTGTGTGGTCCCATATACCCATTTATGTGTGCTTGTATTTTTATATCACAAATGTGTCAATTTTTTAAATTAAATTGACGATTCTTAAAACTCACAGTACGCACCTCTTCCCAGGTACTGTACAATCAACCTCTCCAGATTAAGACATGGGCTCCTAAAATTTAACTCTGAGCTCTCAAAATTGCAATCTAGACCCAGTGAAATAAACTAATGTGTAATCCTGGGCCCTGTCGTACAAAGCGTTGGTATCAATCGCAAATATGTACATAAGAGATAGAAGACTTCAAACTTTTTTGCGTTTGATTTGGATCGATCACAACTCTTTGTAAGACGGGCTCCCTGGTATACTTGATGAATATCATACAGGAACAGGCAGGAGAGCACCTACCGGAACGAATTCGCTTCCAGATGAGCCAGTTGGTTCTGGTTCATTGCTGGGTTCTGGTTCGCTGGAGGGTTCAGGCTCACTTGAAGGTTTCATAGCCATGTTAGTAGTAGCAGAAGCAGCAGCAGGAACGGTAGCAGCAGCAGAAACGGTAGCATCAGCAGCAGCAGCTGGAGTGGTAGTAGCAGCAGCGGGGGCGTCTGTGCTCCCAGTCGCTTGACGACGGCGGCGGTTGCCTAGGGCTGTGGCCACGTCACTGGATTCAAAGATGTAATCAACATCACTGAAGATGAATCCATCAACCTTGCGATCAAACCAGAACTTGAGCGCATCCTGAGAGATTAATGGATAGAATAATGATATCGGTGATTCAGGAGAAACTAGTATTAGCCACTTCAGCTCTCTCTAGATGACAATACATAAAGCAGCTTGCATATGGTACTATGTTACATATATTAAAATGTGAGAAATGAGGAAAATTGGCTTTCAATCTCACAAATCTCTATAAGCTTTTTCATAGTTGAGACATACTAATACTTAAGTAGGTAGTTAGGTATATGACTCTTGACTGTAGCATCCATGCAGAATATCATCAATCATAGTACAATGTATGGTATATCAACACAAGGTGGCGCTATTCATTTCAGACTCAACTGAAGCTTGAGTTCTAAATATCATCGCATGTACTTAATACAGAAGTTTAACATGTAAAGAACACATCTCGTATAGCACATTATACCTTAAACAAAGGTCTCTGTGCCATTTAATGTCAAGATATGTTGTTTACAATTGAAATTAAATTAAGAGAAATATACCATGCATGTTTTTGGTTCTTTAAATCACTATGAAATTATTTTTTCTTGTAATGAAAGAACATGGTTAGCTTTAACAAGTTGAGATATAGATTCATACCTCAATAGCCATCTGGACGTTGGTGTTGTCATAGTTGAGGTCTGGTTGCTCTGCCTTCAGGTAGTGGTAGTAGCACTGCTTCCTAACAGCATCGTAGGTCCACGCACTGTCACCAAACTTGTTGAGCTGGAGAGAAAAAAACAAAACAAAAAAACAATGAACTCCATATCAATATACAGCACCACAGAGATAAAGTTTTGAACTGTAGGGAAAACTGGACTGTACATCATTTTATTCATAATTTCACAGGAGATCCGTCTTGACTGAAATCCTTAGGGTTCGTCTACATTAGGCTTGTTTTAATTGTGTAATGTTGGTAGCACCTGATTTCAGCACCGAGGACCTATGTGTACTGGACCTCAGGAAGTGACAAGCCCTTGTGTAAAAGGCAGATAACATCAAACCAACATGTTTTTATACAACAGAACTTTTGTAAGACTTCATTCAGACAAATCTTAAAGGAAACCAAAACCTTCATACTAAGTTACTTTTATTGTAAAGTTTAAAAGATTTGAATAAAATCAGTGAAAATTTGAACAAAATCGGGCAAGGAATAAGGAAGTAAGAGCTTTTTAAAATTACTAGTCACCAGAGGGCGGTATTCAATTTGATGACATCATCTGTGAACAACTCTCCATGTTTTTTGCACATAAAATTTCACAATTTTGTTGTTTTCTTCGTATTTATTTGTGTTCTAGATCCGACTTCATAACATGTGAAGTAGAATATCATTTTGCATTCTATATCTTGCTTTCAGGGGAGTACATTATCTCAATCACAAGAAAGAAGGAAAAACATGAAATTTGATGTACAAAAGGCATAGAGAGTTGTTCACAGATGATGTCATCAAATTGAATACCGCCCTCTAGTGACTAGTAATTTCAAAAAGCTCTTACTTCCTTATTCCTTACCCGATTTTGTTCAAATTTTCACTGATATTTTTCAAATATCTTAAACTTTACAATAAAAGTTACTTAGTATGAAGGTTTTGGTTTCCTTTAAGCAGATTTTCTTGTTTTCACACAAACTTCACCAGAATTAAAAACTGAATAGAGATGATGATAGACAATACAGTTAACTTTTCTTCAGTTGAACAAGTTTTTTAAAGAAATATACCAAACTACCGGTATGCAAGATATGTGATATTTACACTTTTAGCATATGTCGAACAATTTTGTTGTGTTCCCAACTCTACAGTTTTTAGTATGTAATACCATGACGTCAAAACATTTAATATATCACATGTACATGTAGAAAATGGTTTAAATGAACCAGAATTTTTTTCTGTCAAAAGTAGTTGACCTACCCATTCGTTTGGTGGGTTGGTTCCATCACCACATTCCTTCCATACATAGTAGTCACTGAAGTTACCGGTACTGTTACGACTGGCCAAGAACCAAGGATGGTCCTTGCTGGAATGGTTTGGTACAAATTCTAAGATCACTTTCAGATCTGTTTTGAAGAAGAAAAAAATAAAGATATATAAAATGATTAATAACTGTTTTTAAAAAAGGGAGGAAAACAAACAAATAATAACCATTTCTGCAAATTGGTAAGTGTTGGCAAGGTTACTGCAGTTAATAGATGACAACAAATCAAAATAAATGTAGGTTCTGGTAACCTGAGCCTTTCAACATTCTGAATTGAAGTTCTGAACAATGCCTCAAATTTAAGTTCATTTATTATACTATTGAACATTAAGTACATGTTAACAAATGTCAACTTGAATAAATCAATAAAATATATAATTGCTGGCCAAATGAAAGGATATACAAGAATTGAAAATAACTTTTCATTTTAAATTTAAGATTCAATCTAGAGAACAGCGGGAATAACATTTTACCACAAAACTTTCCAACAAACTACCCCGATATCAAGACATTTTTTATTTCTTCAATTTAATTATGTCTCCCGCTTATGCACTAATTCAGGGAATATGTGGAAATCTGCTGGTGGTACTGCATTAGAGTATAGATTGTATGTAAGAGCTTGAAATGAATGAACTCTGTATGGCCTTGACTGTCTGATGATTTCTGATCTGTACACAGCAGGAATGCAGGATCGTAGGGCGTGACCATGGTACAGTACATGGCAGTCTGGATTAGAGTGTAAATCTGCAGGCACAGACTCTCATTCGACACTAAAACATAATTCCATAAGGTTTTGAGTAGAGCCTACAGTGTAACTCAGTCAGTCTTTAGTATGGCCTGTTGGCTGTGGTTTCTGAGTCTCCTTGCTCAAACACTGTTATAAATGCATTATGACCGACAAGGGTAAGTGCCTACAAACTAGGTCTGCAACCCTAAGTGGTAGCTAGAGGGAGTCTGCAAGCACAGACTGCATCTGTCAGTTTGTGGCTGTGTCAAAAGCCTACTGTAGTCTCATAGTGCAGACACTGTTACACACAATGACTGACATGGGCTTGTGCAGGGTCAGGGACGGGGCAGGTTGTTTCTCTGCATTGTCAAATCATACAATGGCAGGAAGGACTGAAACAACAGTTGGTGAGCAGGGATGGACTATTATCAAACTTCCTGGTTGAGTAGTGGCACCTTGACAAAACAAGAATGAGGTCGTGCCACTGCACTACGAATGACATTGCCTATTACCCTAGTCCATAATGTTTTCTGTAGCATAATACACGATAATCCACAGGCACAGGTGGTTTAAACATGTAACAACGACAGGTTTAACTTCTTATTGTAAAGGTTTCAGAAAATCGCAACCCGTTTTGAATTTTTTATTGTACAGGTTTAAAATTCAGCAACGGATTAATATTTTTTCTCAACCAATATTATTGATTAGTCCTAAAAATGTGTTTCAAATGCTTCAGATCACAAATCACATTTCACCAGAGTGCATCAGGCACAAACATTTGTTGTTTGGCTATATTGAACGTTTCTGAAACGGTATAGCTCTGCAGTGAATTTTTAAGTCTGAACGCTTACTGACGAAGTGATGTAAAAACGAAATAGACTCACTGTTATAGTATAAATCCTACTTGTCTTACACATGGTTTACAACAGCACCATTCCACTGCCCTGTGTGTGGGAAACGGGGGTATAGGAGATCCCATTGTATGCATAATTCTCATAACCTTTGACCCATGTTTTGGGTTGTTCTTTCCTTTATTGTTATGTGCCCTATGCCCTTATTCCTAGTCTCCGTCCACTGACTCTAATTCGACACTGAACCACAACTTCTAAAGCCTTGAGCTGCTTAGAGTACAGAGCCTATGCAGTTTGCAATCAGAATAGTCTCTCTGATCAGACACCATTACGCACAGCGAGTCAGCGACTGACAAGGATTTGTGCCTGCAAACTACATGTACCCTATTCCCGCGGGATTAATGTTATGAGAGCAAGCACTTGACTTGGCATACATGTAGCACAGGTTGACAGGGTTCAACATACAAGAAACAAAGTGGTTCAAAGATAATCATCAGGGCACCTGGAACAATTCTGTTATTATACTAAAAACAAGAAAGAGATTAAGCCATTAGTGACTGTAAAAACAATGTTTGTTTTAACTAAACAATGAAAGGATACAAAGTCCATCCATTGTGCTACCTACAGTGTAATAGCTGAAAGTCATTGCCATTATCAGAACACAGTGTATGCACGGTTTTGACCTCTTCGTTGGGCATTTCACCATTTTTTTCTCACCCCAATTTTGTATCACATGAGGATAGCAAAATACTACCTACCCGTTCAGTAAGGGACCAATAGACAATTTCCATCATACTACAGGATTACAGGGTACATGTAGGTTATAATAATTGTATATTCCTACAATGTTACAATGGTCTCATGTGCATTGATATATTATTATGAAATTTAGTAGAGCAAGAGTTAAGAAAAAGAATATTGAAGATTTACAACCAAATCTGTACAGAATATTCTAATCTAAGTCTCTTATCATTCAAACATTGCATTCACATTTGGCAACTGTTAAAGAGCTCTATTGTTGCAATATTGAGAGACAATCATCAAAATAGTACACACAAGACAACATTTGATCCTACCTTTCTCTTCAGCACTAGTCATGAAGTCGTCAAAGTCTTTGAGAGTTCCCAGACGCTTGTCCACATTGGTGAAGTTGACAATCTCTTGGCCTAGGTCCTGTCCCTGCAGAGACTGCTGGTAGATGGAAGACAGTACAAGCACCTCGGCCCCAATGCCTTGAACGTAGTCCAGTTTCTTGGTTAGTCCTATCAAATGGGGATTTGAAATGTGGTAAAGAGTGGTTGCAATAAATCTGTGTATCAATGAACGACACAGTCAGTCAGAGATAAATCTGATCAACAAACCATATTTTAGGGAATAGGGATTGAGCCTAAACTTAGTGTAGGGAGGCCAATGCCCGGGCGTAAGGCTTCTACACCTACGATTTGTGCGCTCGTCGCCCACTTCAAAAAATTAGCAAAGGGAAAAAAATGATGTAAAAATAAAAATTGAAGAAAATATGAAAAGAAAATACAATTATACATTTCACAACATACCTATAATCACGGATCTGTAACAGTCTTTCACCATTTGTTGACAATCTTGCAGATTTTGACGTTTTTTAATCCAATAATTGTGGTTGCAGACGACCTTGACGCACTCGCACCACCGACTAAGAAAATCCTAGAGGGCGTAGAGGTTTGCTCACTAAAAACCTTCTCATTGGCAGAAGGTAGACCCTAAAAATATGGGATCCGTTTTGAGTAAAGAACTTTTGATAGAGATCAACATTTCAGATGTTCACAATTGCCACTTCTAACAACTAGAAAATATAAAGAAAAAAGATTATATCTTTTTAAATACAGATTTTTACAAACTGAACATTCGAAAGTAGATAGAGTACGATGTTTCTGTCAATCTTGCGTTGGTTTGAGCCCTATAGCTACATCCATCTCAAAATGAGAAGGAAAACAGTGAACAGTGACGTCATTGTTCGCGCCAAAAATAAAGGGTATTGCGACATAATCTGAGCTCCGGTCAGAGCGTGCCCAAAGCGTAGTCTTATTTATAGACCCTAGTACCTTATTCTCACAGCACTAGATACGAGTGTCGTGAAGTAATGTATGAGAAGTGTTAAAAAAGATATTTCAGTAAAAAAAAAAGTCTACGTGAGCAGTCTATACTCCAATTGAGAATTGAAATGAAAGCCATGATTTGAATGTGTGTGTTGTATGATACATGGTTAGTGAGTGTGTATGTTACGTATAGCGAAAGGGAGAGAGAGAGAGAGAGAGTGAGAGAAATATTAGTACACGTACGTTGCATGCATGGATGTGCGCTATGATTGTGTTCGCTGCAAGATGGATTTTAATTGGACCTCGTAACTTCTCGATCGTTGATAATAAGGAATACTCATGAGGAAATCAAATTATTGGAATACACATCTAAGGTAAATATCAATGAATTATATATATTTCTTTCCTTTTTTGAACCATCGTCTTCGGCTCGTAGTAGTAGAAGATGTAATCGTTCGCACATTGATGGCTGGACTTCAGCCTGCATCGGGGCTTGCCTGTGTCGGTGGAGGGATCAACTAAGAAGAAGAAGGTGTGTACGTGTGCGACCGATTCAAGGCTAGCCGCTGTTGAGTGATTGCACTTTCGCGCGAAGTTTTAAACTTCATCATGAACTTTGTCCCTCGGGCCTGTCTAATTATGAACGTAACTTTGCGACATGAAATATAATTGTTTCAAGGCTCTTACGTACGGAAAGGCGTAGAAGGAAATGGCTACAAACCAGCTGGATATCTCCTATTTGATGGAACCTATGGAGTCGGCAGATGGGTGGATTTTCTTAGTGAAAGTAAATGCTTTCTTTTAATCTTAGTTTTAGTATAAACAAATTAGTAATTAAAAAGTTAGATTTGGGCATTGGCCTCCCTACTTAGTGATTTAATTCTTTTGCCTCCTGATATACATGTAATTGAGTTGAAATTAATATTATAAATGAAATTGCTTTGTCTGTTAGAGTCAACAGGGGGATAAACACACATGAGTTAACGTCAAATTTTTAGATTGACATGTATCTTCATTTTTATTTCAGCTTTCCAGGTTTTCAATAATTTGCAAGCACATTTAATTTATCACAATCTTTAGTTGTTTCTAGCGTTACGTGATATGTGTACATGTATCAAGTTGTAACCTGTATTTACGTTCCTGTAAATTAGTTTTCTTCTCTTCCCCTCTACATGCCCCACCTTGACTTTTTTGTTGTTCTCCTTTAATCTTCTCTAAAATTGCCTCTCTTTTTTAAAAACTCAATATTTCTTTCAATTTTCTGCTTCTCTTTCTCATATCTCACCTCTCTAACACTGTGATTTTCTTGCTCCTTTTCTCTTATAAATCACCCCCCCCCCCCCCCCCCCTCTAGGCTCTAGCTCTCTCTCTCTCTCTAGATTTTAAGAGTAAGCAAGGCTGTAAAACTAGACCCAAGACCTATTACTCAAGATGGTGGGCCTAGACAACTTGTATTTTTCTTCTCTCATTTTTTTTTTATTTACCCTCCCCCAATTATTTTCTGTAAGGGGCCTAAGGGGGGGCGGGTTTATTGTCTAGGACTAGGTCGACAATAAACAATTTCCTATCGTTGTGTCCTTCCAATTTATTCCAATCACGACCAAGCCCATTCTGTTTTGTTGTGGTGGTGGTGGTGGTGGAAGTAAACATTCGAATGACAAAGTAAAGAGCGAACGCATGCCGCACGAACAAAATGCTATGCAGTGCAGTGTGCACTCATTAACATATCACACACACCCGGCATTCGCAGGCCGGCTGAATCCAGTTCCAACCGGCGAAATTACTCGACCATATCGCCCACGCACACTATTGCGCGGCTCGAGCATTGCATCAGCAATTCTGCTCGCATAAAAACAGAAACATAACAAAACAAAACAAGTGGGGAAACCTCGTCATACCGCACATGTTATATTTCTTTCATCATCAAAACAATTTTTTTCCGTTGAACACATAATAAACTTTTAAAAAATTAATAAACAAATGAAATTATGAATATGAAATGAAGAAAAAATGACCAAATACTTTCATGTTTCGACATACCTTGGAGATCGCCATAACCATCACCGTTGCTATCCTTGAATGATTGGGGCACCACTCGGTAGAAAACACTCTTTTCCCACCACTCGACTTCTGGGCATCGAGGTACTTTCACGACAATGACGATTGCAGCAACAAGCATTGCCACCCAACCAACCCAGAAAAGAACCAGCAAGATGTTGCGGGTCCAATTCCAGAAAGGAGTGTCGGCAACTTCCAGCAGCTCAGCCTTATTCAGACCACCCCATTCATTATCCTCGCTGGCAGGTTTCTTCTCGTCACTGCCACCATGACCATCAGCAATCTTCACTTCTCCTTTTTCGATATCGCCTTCTGATTGAGGAGCCATTTCGTACTTGGCATCGTAATCTGGCTTTCTGTCGTCGCCCATCTTGGCTTTTATATGAAGGTCTCTTAGTTAGAAAGATGAAATATGACACCCTTTCGACGTCGTCTTAAAATGTCCTTCTATTATTTTCACCGGCTGTACACGTATGCAGAGCAGAGCTATGCGCTAGGTAATGCAATTATAGACTGTAGTAATGGCGCGGAATTTACTATACTCACGCTGTGATGTGCAGTGCAGTGCGGTACTTATGAATGGGCACGCGGGCGCGAGATCATAGTACATGTACTATAGTATGCGAGCGGTAACTATGGAAAGCCGTTGGTGACTTTATTCACGTGCCCCAGACGTATGGAACGCGGCACACGTCTGCTAAATTGACCAATCACCGCCTGTTATTTAGCAGGCGCGTGCAAGGTGCGATAGCACACGCCTGTTACTTTATTAGCACACGTGTGCCTTTTTCCAGACGGATGCTGTTTACTGCGCATGCGTCTGGAATTGATTGACCAATCAGATATCTTGTTTAATATGGAGTTTAATGTGTGTGTACGGTGAGTGCATGCAGCGCAGACAAGCAAAAATGTGCCTTGCACGTGGTGATCGACGCACGTGGTACTCTTACCGTTCTTAAAAGTATTGACTTTGATTTCTATGTCAGAAAAGAAGTATAAATTGTAAGAGTACTTCCAATGAGGTTGGAACCTTCTGATGCAAAGAATAGTATATCAAATTATAAACGAGGTACCGAACTGCTATATGATTAACGTTTATCCTCCACCTAGTATTGGAGTTTCTAAATACTATAAAGCTAGTCTAGGGTTGATAAAGAAAAGGTAAGTCTAATATCATGAATGGTAGTTTCCAGATTTACAGTCTATCATTCAGAACCTACTTTAATTGCAAATTAGGTGATATACTATGCAACAGTGCCATCGTGATAATGTGTATGATCCAGTGTAGATACATAGTGTTGGAACAAGATCTCTCCCCCTCTTCCATCTCTCCTTTATCTCTCTTGGGTCACTCTGTACAGAGGTCAACCTCACTCGTGGTAGGGGAACCCACACACTCTCTCTTTCTCTCCCTTTCTCCCCCAATATTCTCGTTAATGTTGTGTTGTTGAGCAACACTCTCCATTGGGCTAGGACAGGGGGATTAGTGATAGGAGGCATGTTTGCTTATCATATTAGAAGTTGGAAACACTGTGAAGAGTTTGCATTTGCTTGGCACAAGGGATTGTCTGACCATTATTATTTGGTAGTTTTCAATCGAACAAACCTGCTCATATTTATCCCATAGGCCTAATTATATTTAAGGGTTGATGTTTGGATGTTGATTGGCTTATAATACAACATGTATTGCTGTATATTGCATAAGTGGAAGTTATCACATTTCTTAGAGACAATCAATTTAATATTCTTTAGTCTATATTTCTTGTCTTGTATATAGTTTATGATTATTCCTTTATATTTCTATGTTATATGTCATATGGGTAGTCGAAGCATAATAATAGTGCAATAATTATAGGTGAATCACATGCAGATTGCAGTATTGATTGATAAGTTCGTTTTCCTAAAACGATATTTACACCTGAGATTATGTATGTGTTGTGTGCTAGAGGAATACAACATATTTCTATGTTAGTATTATCATTTCTAAATCTGAGAGGATAATAGATTTAGATTTAGCGTTTAGATGAGATTGCCTAGGTACAATGAAGGTCTAATTTAAAGTTAGGGTATAACGAATCACCATCAGGGCCGTCTCCAAGGGGGGGGGGGGGTGTTGGGGTGCGACACTCCCCCCCCCCCCACCTGTCAGGATATTGTCGGAAAAAATGCGCTGCCGTCGGGAAAAAAGAGAAAAGGGGGAGGGGAAAAACAGAGGGAAAGGGAAAGAAAAGAAAAAGAAAAAAAAAAAAAGAAAAGAAAGAAAGGAAAAGAAAGGAAAGAAAGAAAAATAAAGGAAAGAAAAGAGAAGAAAGAGGGAGGAGAGGAAAGAAAAGAAAAGAAAGAAAAGGAAAAAAGAAGAAAAAAGAGTAAAAGGGAAAGAAAACAAACGGGGGATGAAAGAGAGGAGAAAGAGGGGAGGTAAGAGCCTGAGAGAGGAGGAGTGGGAGTAAAAGAGAAGGGGATTGTTGGGTGGAGTCGTCTCGTCGAGGGAGTAAGAAAGACACGGGTAAATATGTTGCTGTGTCAGGTCAGCTGTGTCGGTATTTTTGCTCGATCCTCGTGTACTATATCAATGCAGAAGTTTGAAGTCGGTGAGATATGTACTACTATACTTGTATTTTCACTTTCCTATAATATCAGCTAAAGAAATCAGAGGTTTGAAATTTTCGGGGAAACTGAATTCAAACAAGGTTTAAGAGTCAACAACGGTACGACGAATCGTCTTCCTTTCTCTATATTGTGATGAAACGCCGAAAAATTCCGCCCTTCGCGCGGAAGGGGAAAACTTCATTTAAACGAGTCGAGAACGGTACAACGAATCGTCTTTTTTCTCTAATAATTTAAGGAATCGTCAAAGCTTCCGCGCTTCGCGCGAGAGAGGAAAACTGAATTCAGATGAATAGGGCTTAATAAGAGTCGAAAACGGTACAACGAATCGTCTTCTTTCTCTAATAATTAAATGAAACGTCAAATCTTCAGAACTTCGCGCGGGAGGGGGAAAACTGAATTCAGATAAGGATTAAGAGTCGAGAACAGTACACCGAATCGTCTGCTTTTTCTCATCATTTAATGAAACGTCAAAGCTTCCGCGCTTTGCGCGGGAGGGGAAGAAACTGAATTCAGACAAGGATTAACAGTCGAGAACGGTACAATAGATCGTCTTCTTTTCCTAATAATTTAAGGAAACGTCTAAGCTTCCGCCCCTCCCTAAAATAAGATCCTAGCTCTGTGATAGCTATGCATGCTGACTAAGTTGACGAAATAATTCGTATATTTGTGTCGTCGTGGAAAATGACCATTTGCGCATATGCAAGTACAATAGATAGTCCATAGGAAAAACAATTTAGCCTTCGGCCCCGGGTTTATAGGGTTAAATTTGTAGATATTGGAAATTTAATTTTGTCGGTAATTGGTGGCTAGTTTTGTCGGTAATCGTTGGCCTCTACACCCCCCCCCCCCCCCCCCCCCCCCCCCACTGAAAAAGGTCTAGCGACGCCCCTGATCACCATATTAGGTATAAATATGATGTGTATAAGAACAAAACATATATAACATTATCTGTATGTAAGTGTTTATTCGATTTGATAATGAAACTGCTCTTATAATAATGTAGATGTTAGTTTATAGGAACTCTGTAGGACCATGCATTATGGTTCAAGGCATGCCCACATAGAGAATTTCGTTATGTTAGGGGTCGGGGCCAAATGCAATGAATTATTGATAATTTATTGGATTTTCTTTGTGTTTTTTTTTTATTTCTGGGGGCGGCGACGTACCCTAGCCCCCGCTGTTTACTCGTACCGTACCAAGGGAATACTGCGGGGAGGGTAGACCGAATGGCGTAGCGTGGTCGTAATGATTTTTTTTTTGGGGGGGGCAGGGGCAGGATGATGGGTCGCGTACTTTATTGGGGCACGACTTTTTTCTTTATTTGTTCAGAATTGTACGTTTTCAATAAATGTTTTCTACAAATAATCGAGGCCATATGGCGACCCCCCTTCCCCCCTCCCCCCCCCTGCGCCTACGCCACAGCCGTGGGGTGTTCCCTATTCATTATTTCGCTTTCTTATTATCATTTTGTTTATTTCTAATTTAATTTTAATTTAATTGTTTATGAAAAGCGACCCTCAACCCATGTTATGAATAACGACCCTTAAACGCGAACCTTCATCCCGGGCCTACCCCCCCCCCCCTCCCCCATCAGTCTGACCACGTAGTGCAGGTACATATTACCGACAATTTTCGTTCAAGTAGTTCATAGATGGCGTAGCCTGTGTGCGTTTCGCGGGGGGGGGGGGTTGGGTGTAACAGCGTTGCCATCTAGGGGCTGATGTATCATGTCCCTAACTCACAGCAAAGGAAGGAATCGACAGAGAGGGGGTTGTATGGACTGAAAGGGCAAGTCCACTTCAAAAATTAATAACAAACCAATCAAACTAAACGTTTACAAAATAGGATAAATAATAAAGGTTTGGATTGTTAATGACATGAAAAACTTTTAAAATCACAAGACAAATTGGCAACTCACTCATGAGTCTGTGACGTCATTCAGGCGCGGATCCAGGATTTCTTAGGGGGATGGGCCCAAATTTGAAATCATGCGACCCAAATATTGGTACGTAATGGTGACCAGCAGTGACGTAATGGGGGGTGGGTACAGGGACGGGCGAGCTTCCCCCTCCCTCCTCCATGAAGCGCGGAAGCTTTTACGTTTCAATAAATTATTAGAGATAGAAGACGATTCGTTGTACCGTTCTCGTCTCTTAATCCTCGTCTAAATTCAGCCCCCCCCCCTCCTCCTGCGCGAAGCGCGGAAGCTTTTACGTTTCATTAAAGGTACTATGTCCCATTTGCAGGCCAAAAAAATGAAAAAGTTAAATTCCAATTGCATTTGAAAGATAATACTAATTTAGAACTTCCCTAAATAAGGTGGGACTTGAAAATGTCTTTAAGTGGGAAAATAACGACTATTAGTTGTCAAATCGACTTTAGGGCTATAGAGCCCAAAAGTAATAGTCTTGATTTTCAGACAATTGTACCGAATGGTCATACGTTTTATGCTGCGCAAAGATTCAATCAGTTTAATCTTGGCCATCTAAAGAAGTGGGTTATTGATGTAGACAAATGCTCATGTACCCTTCACAACTCTTTTCATGTATGTTATTACCAAAGAGGAAAAAAACCAGTCAGTCACTCAATAGTGTCTGACAGTGAAGTCCAGCAAGTAAACAGGTTTCCTTGCATAATTTGAATATGAGGACACTGCTAACATTAAATTTCACAGATAGGACATACATGACATATTCATAATTCCTGCAAAGTTCTACAGAATTTGAGGTTGGCTACAAAAGGGACATAGTACCTTTAAATCATTATAGAAAGAAGACGATTCGTTGTACCGTTCTCGAATCTCATTTTAATCCTTCGAAAATCTTCTTTGTCTGCTCCTTTTTCTTCCTATGTCCTCTTCCTTTGCTCTCCTCTCTCTTATTTTTTTTTTTTTTTTTTTTTTTTTTTGGGGGGGGGGGGGGGGGGGCCAGCGATTA